GGGTGCTGGGCACTGCCATGGGTGGGTGGGCATGTATAAAAATACATTCTGGCCCTTTTAAAGGCTAATAGGCAAGGGATTTTCCTGGGAAGAATTTTCATGGGAAGCTACCCAGATAGCAAGGATAACTTGCCACAAACTTGTGGCAGGGTTAAATTGTAATTCTTTCTAACTTGCTGCACACATTTCTGGCAAGTTGTAGACTTGCAGAACAATTGTAGCACAAGTTCTAGTTGACACTTTTTGAATTTGTATCAAATTTGCTTAGCAAGTCTACAGCAAGAGTCCTACAGGTCTTAGCAAGAGCTCTGTAAGTGTACAGCACTTTTACAAAGCACGTTGATCTGAAGACTTGCAATGCAGACTTGCTGTAATTGTGCAACAAAATTGTGAAGCTTGGGAAGTCTGCAATAGTTTAGCAAGTCATTTTCAAACTTGCAGCTCAATTTCTTGCAATCTGGGTAGGCACTGAGATACAGTATATATTAATGCAAAAAAAATGCAATAAAGCCTGTTAAGCAGGGAGAGGGTCCTCCTTTTCATGTGACTTTGAGGGCTGAAAAAAAAGCCACTTCAGTATTACGAGTGGACTTCTCACTGCAAGTTTTGCCTAATGTGCCACTGGCTAGGGCACTGACAGTAAGGACTAGTAGACATGTAAGCCGGCCAAAAAATGGTTTAGTTTCGGATGTTTTGTTATATAGTTTTTAGGGTCTGAAAGTCAATTCGTTTTGGCATTCGGATTTGGATGCATCTGAATTTCGTTAATTTTGTATGAGTTAAATGATCATTACCAACTATAATTCATTGCAGAAAAGTGTCATTATGTTTGTTTGTTTTTTGATTTCTGACACCACAAACATTGGTCCCCCCAATTTATACCAGACCCTTTAGGTCTGGTAGGAATTTTAAGGGGGAACCCCCAATGCCAAAACAGTAAAAAAAAACATTTTTTACATTTATTTTAAATAAAGAAATTGTCAAAAATTCGTGTTTTGTTTTTTGTTCAGTTAAATGAATTTTTTCTAAGGTGTTTTGTGTTTATTTACATTTTTTGTAAAGTACCCCTTACTCATTCACAAGGGGGGAGGCATCTGGGTGCCCCCTTTATGAAAGGGGGTACCCAGATGCAGATGAGCCCCCCTGCCCACAGACCCCCACAACCACCGGGTCAGGGTTGCGAGGAAGAGGCCCTTGTCCCCTTCCTGCCCTGCTAGGCTGCTTCCCGGATTAAGGGTCAAGTATGGGATTTTAGGGGGACCCCATTTTTTTTGCCTCTTTGGCTTTGGAGTTCCCCCTTACATTCATACCAGACCTAAAGGGTCTGGAAATGAATTGGGGGGACCCCACGCTGTTTTTAAATTATTATTATTATTTCTGTGAACATTTAAACACTTTTGTGTATTCTGTGACAGCTGTCAGATACTTTACATTGGTGATGGAAGTGTCCTCAAAGAAACAGAAGCTGTTACAGAATAACACAGATCTCTCAGCTTCTTTTATTATTTACATTTTGTAACAATATTGTTTTACTTTGTTTTCATTTGAGATACAAGTGTAGAGAAGCCAGAGAGCAGTGAATGACAGCTATACCTCTTGTTGTATTTCGTTTCCAAATGAAATTCAGATGTATCCGAATTTCGTTATCAAGCATTCCTTTAGATTCGTTATTTCTGTAATTCGGATGCATTCGAATGTCTGAATTTACAGAAATGTGTACGAATTTCAATTCAGAACGAAACGAATTGCACGTCTAAGGATTAGTGCTTTCCCCCTTGGATTAAATTATCAGTTTTTTACCCTGTATGTTTAGTCTTTATTGTACTGACCATCAAGTATTGCCTGAGGAGAAAAACAGCAGCACTGCTATTTACAAGTGTGTATTGCGACTACAGTACAGAAGTCTTGAGGCTGTCCTAAGTCCTATATGTGACAGTGCTCTCCCGGGGGTG